TCTTTGTGGCAGATTAACTTCCACAAATTCTAGGGCTTCTTTGTTCTTTGTAGAGATTATTTTTTTAACATGGAATAGAGAAGTTAAACAGATCTCAGCTTCAAGAATTGTCTGTTTTTCTATTTTTATTTTTTCAAAGACTTAAGCTCATCCTGGCCTTGCAAAAATTCTTAATTGCTGGGCAATTGCTGTGTATTTATTACATTGCCTTTTGCAAATAAGGGTTGTCTGAGAATCCTTGCAGTATTTGGACTGTTAGTTTAAGCATGAATTTCTTTGATGTAAAGAGCAGTGAAAGGTGAATTTCTCTGTTCATGTGCCTCATTGATAAACCCATTGCAAGAGGAGTTTAGATTTGGTGTGGTGGAATGTGCAGCCCTCTTTTTATCCTGCAGGTAATTATGGTATCAGCTTAATTTCTGCTTCAAGAAGATGTTTGCTTAAATATCTTCTAGATAATTTTTTCACTATAACTTCTGTCTTTCAGAGCAATATGACCTCTAAAGCCAGAGGCCTTAACAAGTGATGAAGTATCATTCTTTTAGCCTGTGGGAATCTGTTCTGGCAGAGATACTAATTTACTTTCCACTAGGGTTGTGGGGAATATGCATCTCATTAGATTCATAATGGAGTGCTTTCTTTAGGGTGTTGGAATTTTATTTTTTTTTCAGGGAGATGCTAGCTGCATTTTTTTAAAGAATATTGCTTTCCTTATATACTTGTAACACTTGACATACCATATGGTAAAACGTGAGAAGATAAATACTCTCCCTCAGCACAAATCTAGAAATATCATCTTTAGAAGCTTGTTTAGAAGTGGGCAAAAGTTTGCTGTTCATATTGGAAGGTATGTGCTAAGGATTGGAAGAATGGTAAAAATACTACAGTCAGTCAGCTGTTACTTACTGTATTGGTTTAGCTGGTGATACTGAACCCTTCTGCTGCAGAAATTCTAAGCCTGACTTGTCCGTTCTGTTCAGTTGCTTAGGGTTTATAAATGCAAAAGCATGTATCTGGCATTCTTGGCCACGTAGAGTAGATAACAACCATGATGTTATGGGCCATGCGTTGGAGCAAAGGTGAGATGAGCTTGAGATGAGCTCTGAGTGGCTTCTGCAGCAAAGCTGCTGCTCACCTGGGAGGTCACACTTGGTTATTAGCACCTGGGGTAGGAGGGCTGCAACTCTGCACCACATATTCTGCACTTAAGGAGCACAGCAAAACAAATGTAGGTATGAAAATGAGCAATGCCAATTTAAAGTGACTGCCTGTCATCTTGGACTGCTGTGAAGTTATGTCGAGTAAAAGCACGTTCCTCTTCTCAAACTGTCAGCTATAAATGTTCAGCCTGTCTTAACTATCCAAGCAGAGGCAATTGTTGCATTTCTTTTCTCTAATTTTTTTTTTCTTTCTCTGCTGAGTTCACACAGCTACAGATCTGAGTTGAGGGTGGTAAAGGGAGAGTGTTTCTCCCCTTTAGGTGGCATGTGACCTTTACTTCTAATACGATGGCAGCATGTTCTTTAGAGGATATATGTGGGCTTTAGACTAAATGATGCCCAGGCTGCTACAAGCAAGGAAATGTTTTACTAAATTGCAAGAGCAATCTTGTTATGACTGCAGTAAACTTGCAAAAGGGTATAAAAGCAAAGGAGAAGTTATTAGTTAATCCTCTAATTCCAGCGTAGGTCTGTCAGTAGCTAGTTTAAACCATAAGGGACTTCAGATCAGTTGCTCTGATAAGGGGTTCTAGTTTTCTAGCCCTTTGAAGAACTCAGTTCCAGTAATCCTCCCTTTCTTCCCCCTTTCCTTCGCTCCCTCAAGGTCATCACATTCCAGTTTCCTAGATGAAAGGATGTTACCAGAATCGTTGCACAACTCTTATGCGAGAACAATTGGCAGGGTGGTGTCTGAGCCGGCCCTTTTTGCGCGGTCTTAAAAATGAAGCTGCATACTGCCAAGAAAACCAGCTGCTTGAGGATTGCTGCAGTCCTGGCAGTCTTTCTAGGCCTACAGTTGAGCAGATGTGGACAGAGCTCTGAGCTTCGGAAGATGTTTGGGTTGGGAAGGGATTTTGAGGTCCTGTCTGAATGCTTAAGCACTGTTTGGGTACAAGTGGGATTAGCAGTGGTACCTAGTCACCGCTGTCTCCAGGCACTGCTCAGTTTGTCTTTGTGGAACCAGAAGACATGGTACAACTGTTGTAGCAGTTGACAGCCTGCTACACTGGTGTGTACCAGTGGGGCTGAACCAGCAAATGTTAACAGAGCTGAACATTGGGTGTATGCTTGTTGCATAATACTGCAAACCCTATTCAACTACTATGTGGCATCACTCTTCAAGTGCAGGATTTTATAGCGGAATAGGAGACTAAATATGTTGAAGTGCAGAGGAGAGTAGTTGCACGGGATGCAAGGAGAAAAGAAAGCAGAGGACAAGGAACCTGCGCTCAGTTCTTGTTCGATTCCAGGTGCTTTGCTTCACCACAGCTACAGTTCTGTTCAGAAGATGGTAATGACATGTTGTGGTAGTGAGAGAACACCACTGAATATATTTTCACGTTCTTGGTAATATTATTGTAGCCGTGGCAACAAGCTTTTAGAGAGGTAATTTCATTAAATTGATGGTTCTGGAGCGAAGGAAAAGCTGACAGGCTTTCGAGACCCACAAATCTGAAGAAGGCAAATGTCTTCCAAATCTGTCAGTTGCTGTAGGACGTGATTACATCTCTGTAGAGAACTGAAAAACTTGTGCATGAACCTTGTTTACATCTCGAAGCACTCTTCTAGATTTGTCCTTATAGATTGAATTATAAACTCTTTATGGGAAGGAGTTTAAGGAAGCCGTTGCCAACTACAAATTAAGGTTGCTCTTTAATCTCTAGCCTGGAAGGCTCCCAACAACTTGGAAAAGGGTGTGAATGTGTAAAGGGGAAATCTATAAAGGTGCTTAAGTTCCTTCTGCTTGAAGCACTGTAAACCCCATGCTTTATGGGAGCATGGAGAGAATGTATGTATGGGAGAAGCTGCATTCCTGGTCATGAGAGAGGAGCAGTAGTTGTATTCAGCTACGCACGTTACTACTGTCATAGTGGTGAAATCTTTTTTGTGTTTTGATGGGATTGTACATCACTGACTTGAAATATTGCCAGAATTTGTGCATTCCTGTATGGGAGACATGCAGATGCAGCTTTCTCAGAAGGTACCATAGCAGCTTTTTTCTGCATGTAGATTGCTCTGGCCACTTGTGTTTTTATTGACTGTCTCAGTGTTAGAAATGCAAGTAGTAGCTTTTGGCCCACTATCTGTAGTATCTAGTGGTAGGCCTGTTTCTTTTTATTTTGTTGGGGTTTGTTTTTTTTTTTCAACTTCACTTTGCAGTCTGGGGTATTTCAAATAACCAAATAATTGGCGTGAAAACATAAGAGAAAGCTGGGTCTCCATTAGAGGATCTGATCTGGTGTGGGCCAATTAGAAAATAAGTTTCAGAAGCACAAGATGCCTTTGTGTTTTACTGAAATCTTACTGCTTTTGGGGGAAGAGAAATTAAGCTTCTGCAGAAACTCTGGCTGAGAAAAGATTAAGAAATAATGCCGTTAATGGAGAAGATATGTCTCAGATAGCAGTGAATGCTGTTAAAAATACCAGCCCCTACCCACTAATGATAGGCCAAGTTTTGCAAACTTAACAGGTTTCATCCTTTTTTCCCGTGCTTTGCCTTTGATGGGATTTTGCCTTTGATTGCATGGTTGTGGGTGGAATGTCTGGTACTCTTGGCAACAAAAACTATATAGGTTCTTAAAATTACATTTGTTCTGGCCTGGAGCATATCTATGTGGGTGTTGGATGTTTCTTTGAGACCTGACATTCCTTTTGGTTAATCACCTTATGTTATCTGCAACTTTAAAGGAAGATGATTAATATCTATCAGCCGACTTCACTATGTGGCATAGATGCGCACTGCTGTATATTTAATGCTTCCGTATATGAATCACCTATCTGGTGAAGGCAGTGTTTGGATAATCAATTATCCAGGAATATACTCTGTGGACCAGAGGCAAGTAATTATAAATGTTACTTAAGAGTCTCATCAACGGCATAGTGCTTAATCTCCTAAGCACATTAGAGTATTACTTGGTCAGAAATATATTATCATCCACTTAAGTGAGATAATGTGGATCTTTTTCTAGGCAATACAGAAACATAGTATACTGTGCTAAGCTAGAATTTAATTACCTGATAAATAGGTTGTCCTATGTGTATCTGAAGACATGGAATATTTAAATTATACTAGCTATCTAATGTCCTGTGTACTAATTTTGACAAATGTCCAAAAAAAAATCCATACAGAATTGACTGAATACATGATAAATTGGCTGCTGCTGCTTATGTGAAGTGAGCTGGATTATCAGAAGTAATCGGTTTAATTTAAACCCAGCTCATTTTAACTGAAAAAGGTTAGGGAGCAGCCACATGATCAGTTCAGCAAGCAGATCTAAGGAGGAAAGTCATATTTTCCATTAATTACTACTGAAGTAATTTAAAGCAGGATAACAGCCCCAGCTGATTCAATGGGTTTCCATTAATTATTCAAAAGGCAAGCAACTCTTCTTCAAGTTGCAGTTACCTGTGAATTATGAGCAAATTTTAAATCTTGTTTAAAAGCACATAACTGCCTTGTTTTGCCAGGTACCTCTTGATTAAAAACCTGATGTGGAAAAACTAGGGAGTGCTTGGACTTGATGGTTGTGTCTGTCGTAGTCCATTCAGCTACAGCCTTGTCAGAAAATAAGTCATTAATCTTGATTACGTGAGGGGGAAGAAACTGCAAATGCTAGTTTGCTTTTAATTTTAACACTTTGCTTAAAATTTTAACAATTTTAACACTTTAGCACAAGCAGTACATTCATAGTTTGTACTTTAGCTAGAGGTCTTGTGTTGCAGTTACATATATGACTTATGACTATTGTGTTCACAGTCTTACCTTAATTTCTTTTCTAGGGAAAGCCCGTGTGCAGCAGCTAGCAGAGAACACAAGATATTTCAGGAGACGACTGAAAGAGATGGGCTTTATCATCTATGGAAATGAAGATTCCCCTGTTGTGCCTCTGATGCTGTACATGCCAGCAAAAATTGGGTAGGTTTAACAGGATAATTTCTCATCCATCTTCTTGAAAGCTAGGATGGCACAAGAATATTAAGACTTTTCTAAATATAAGAAAAGACTGTTTTGATTTTTTGCTTTTATGATCATTACTGAGTCTTAGAAAACATAGAAACTTCCTATAAGTGATCTTGAGAAAATTGGTGCTTTTAGCTGGGGGCAGCCAGAAGGCACTTCAGGGAAGCAATTTTACCACTACATGCCATGTTTTAAAAGTTGAGGTTTTGTTGTTTCTTTTCTAATTTTATTTATATGTAAAGTGTATCTATGTGCTAAAGGGGAGATGAAATTTAATGGAAATTAACATTAAAAGTCACTGGAAGAATCTTTCAAGCAGCTCCTGGATCAGAAGCAGCCAACACATGAACTCTCTGAAAATTAAAAAACCCAAAAAGCAGGGGGGTGGGTGGGACATGATGGGACACAAAAACCTGTGTTTGATGAATCCCAGGTTTTTTAAGAGGTCTAGATTTAATAGCTCAGGTATTGTCAATACTAATAGAGCTGTAACCCATAGCTTTACAAATGCTTATGGACTTGTGGGCTGCTGTGTGGATAATTAAGGCTAAAATTCTGCAAATAGGATATAATGTATATATTAACAATTTTTGCAACAGAAAAGCTTGATTTCAAGGGCAGCTTGACTTTGATAGCTGCTTTTCAATGTCCATGTATAATGCAGTGCTCAACCAACAGTTTGAAATTTGGAAAGCATGGCTTAAATTTTAAGCTGTACCGAACATCTCTAGTGCTCTTCTAGCTCAGTTAGGCTTCAGTCTGGCTAGCACAGTGGTTCTGTGAGGGAACAAACATCATCTAGCACTCTGCATGAAGCTAGATACAGTCTTCTTCCACGCTTCTCAGTATAACCAAATTTAAAAGGCCTGTAACCTTTATGGGTGCTGTAGAGTCTGCAGTGTGTGCCATCCAGCACACAGAGGCATACTGTCTGTGGCCCAGCTGCTCTACCAGTCAGTACAATCTTTTCCCTGGAAATGTTTATGGAAATGCTTTATTAGCTGAGCAGTCGGGCCATAACTTTCTTAAAAATGAGCAAGAACACAGAGCTCTGAGAGTTGGCCCTTAGGATCTACATTGGGTCTACTTCATTCTTTCTTTTTCTTTTGTAGTCTGTTTTATAAATAGTTTGAGTACTAAATGGATACAAAATGAAGTGTATCAGGATGCACCTACTTCTAAGGATAATAGTTGTCGTAGAAGTAAAAAGCAGAAAATTTTAAAACCTAGTACAAGGATGTTATTTTTATACATCCTTGTAAACCTCTTAAGTTCATTGCTACTTCTCAAGACAAGGTCAGTTCAAAAAGGATTAGCCATTTCCCGAGGCCTGTAGAAACGCGCACAGTTGCACTGTCATTATGGAAAGGATCTAGATTTTCATGCCTCTCATCACATAAGTCACAGCCACTAATTTCTTTAATCCCCATAAGAATCTGTTTTGTTGAAGATACTGTGTGATAGTTGTATGAGGTTTTTGCACGTACCTAAAAATATTTGGTATCAGATTAGATGGATCTCAATTTACTGTGCCAATTCAATGACTCCCATGATAGGCACTTAAGAAGTGGTACATTCTCTGACACCATAATGCACTTAAACTAAACTGATAAAAACAAACCATCTTGAAACTGCAGAAGCATCTGCTTTGGGGGATTGCAGCATGAGGGATTCCTTGCATAATCAAACTTCTGAGCCAAAATCCCAGTTTCCTATCGGAAAGATTACCAAGCTTAGGTTACAAATCCATTTAGAAACTGCCTGCTGAAAGACCAGCATCTGCCACATATAATCTTTCAGCTTTGTTAGAACTTAATACAGTGAAACCTTTTGAGGACCACCTTGGGATTGAATTAAAAAAGAGGCTTTTGTGAACAAGTGTTCTGCATCTAAAAGAAAGCACTGGAAGCTCCAAATTGTGGTCTTACAGGCTTGCTTCAACAAAGACCTGTATGGATTAACATACTGAGACCTTCATGCTGCTGCTGCTGCTGCTTTGCCTCCACTGGTATCATTCTGATGATCTCTTTTTTTACTCTCTGGCAGTGCATTTGGACGTGAGATGCTGAAGCGGAACATTGGTGTTGTGGTTGTGGGCTTCCCTGCCACCCCCATCATCGAATCCAGAGCCAGATTCTGTTTGTCTGCAGCTCATACCAAAGAGATGCTTGATACAGTAAGTGTCTCATCTTGTCTTCCTTTTGCTCCTGCCTTCTATAAACAGATACAACAGTTGTCTGGTTTTTTGTAGACGGGCTCAGTGTTTGGTACACAAACCACTTGAACCTGATGTTCAAAGCCTTGTGTAGTAGAGCTGGCAATGACTCCCATATCTCTTTCCTTGCTTCATCAATGCTGCCTACAGTAAATCTCAGGGACTTTCGTTTCCTATTCTAAATAGAGCGACAGTCTCATTCCATTGAGACCATGCTTTTTGCCCTCTTAAGAGGCTCTACTTTCCACTGAATCTTTTAGAAGGAAAAAATTCTGCTGCTTCTGACCCTAGATGCAGAAGGTAAGGGGGAAAAAAAAAAAGCATAAGAACCTCCAAAATATCTATATTCTTCTCAAAAGCAAGTGCAAGCCTCAGCATATGATTACTAGAGAGAATTTTTGTTCCAAGGATTACTATTCCAGTTCTTGTTTACAGATTGAGAGCACTGTATCTTAAATGATCCTATCCTAAATGAGTCTGTGCCACATGCAATGCCTTACTGACTCCTGCCTGCAGTAAGCATGTTTCAGTGGGAATGGAGGTCCCTTCTAAGGAGGCCTGCATTAGTTAGGAGATACTGCCTTAAAAATTAAGAGTGAAAGTTACTCTCTGACTACTGTAGTTGAAAGGGGATTGTATGAATAAGTCTGACTATCCTTATTACGTTTTGGTGGGGTAACTACATTCATTTTTGAGTCTTCTGAATGATCTTCTTTAGACATGTACATGGGCTGTCTTCGGCTCTGTCAAAGTTCTCCATTGTATTTTTTTTCCCCACTTTGCTGTTCTGTGACTCAGAACCTATGCTAGGTTGAGTCATGACCTTGGACTTCAGGAGGATAGACTCTGTCAGGTTCAGAGACCTGCTTGAAAGAATCACATAGGATACAGTCCCGAAGAGAGGAGGTGTCCAGGACAGCTGGTTGATTTTTATATCCCCCTCCCTACCCCCGAAGAGTGGTCCATCCTGACTTACAGGAGAGCAAATGTAGTGGGAAGTCTGCACAGATGAACAAACCAACAAAACCATAGAACACAATCATGTAAGAGGTGCAGGAAGGGACAGGTGACCGAGGAGAAATAGAGACACAGTCCTGAGGATGCAGGGATGGGGTCAGGAAAGCCAAAGCCCACCTGGAGCTGAGTCTGTCAAAGGACATGAAATGCAGCAGGCAGGGCTTTTATGGGGAAATTAGTAGCAAAAGGAAGAGTAGAGAAAATGTGGGGCTGCTGCTGAATAGCATAGGGATCAGGTAACAAATGACATGCAAGAGGCCAGGGTACTCACTGCCTTTGCATCAGTCTTTGCTGATGAGACTTCCCTTCAGGAATCCTGGGCCCATGAGATCAGTGGCAAAATACGGAGCAATGAAGACTTACCCTTGGTGTGAAGGAAGATCAAATAAGGGAACATTTAAACAAAGTGAACATACGCAAGTCCATGGGACCTGATGGCATGCACCCGCAAGTGTTGAGGGAGCTGGCTGTCACTGCAAGGCCACTCTTGATTATCATCTTAAGGTCATGGTGACTGGGGGAAGTTCCTAAGGACTGGAAGAAAGCAAATGTCACCACTGACTTCAAGAAGGGCAAGACATGTGATCTGAGGAACTCAGAGAAGCCTCACCTTGATTCTTGGGAAGATGATAGACAAAAAAAGTCCTTGAAACTATTTTCAAACATTTTGTGGACAAGAAGGTGACTGGGAGTAGTCATCATGGAGTTATGAAGGGGAAATCATGCCCAGTGTCCCAGATATGATCAGGTGGTAACACTTCAATACATAAACAGCAAATGGGACATATAAACAGATACTTACTAATGTCTTGTAAGAAAAAGCAAAAAGATTCAAACTTTTCATGCTTCACTGCCACAGAACTTTCAAGTCAGCAGCTGAAAATGGCTCTTTTTTTATTGCCCTTTTGTTAGGAAAAATAGTAAGGCAGTGGTGTGTGTCATTTGGTAACATATATTTAGTGTTGTTCTGTGTCATTTAAACAATCTGCCATATATCTGTGGTGCTGTACTTGCTGCTTCAGAGTTGTTTCTGCCCTGTAAGACCTGAGAGATTCTGCCATGACGCTCTAACAGCGGACTGCTTCAGGAGTTCCTTCCCAGCTACTTGTCCTGCTACTCTTCCTGCAGTTATCCTAAATCAGTTGTTTCTGTTCCAGATAAAATCTCACAGAATCATTAAGGTTGGAAAA